CAGGCTCCCCAGGGCAGTGGGCACAGCCCCAAGGCTGCCAGAGCTCCAGGAGGGTTTGGATGATCCTCTGGGGCACAGGGTGTGACTCCTGGGGATGGGCCTGTGCAGGGCCAGGAGCTGGACTCGATGGTCCTTGTGGGTCCCTTCCAACTCAGCATATTCTGTGATTCTATTTTTTCTTGAAAGAAATCTACTAAAGCAAAGCAAAGAAGAAGCTGATAAATCCAGCCCACAGAGAACAGGCTTTTTTCCTTCATTGTTTCTGATGTTCTTTTGACATTGAATGCCCTTGCCAGCAGGAAAACCATGACTGTGAAGATGAAGACTCACCCTCCTCGCCTTCTCCATGGCAGCCTCGCTCTCCCAGCCATAGGCGTGGGTCCTGGAGTGGGGGTTGCCATAGTAGGCTGTCAGGTATGGGAGCATGCTGTCCAGGACTCTGGGATCCTGCAGGACACAAAACACCCAGCCTCAGAAACAGAGAAGGAAAAGCATCTCTGTCCCCTCTAGACATGCCCCCCTACTGCAGGATTAGCACTTCTGTCGCAGTGTCTTGCTTTAGCTCAGGCCAGATCTCAAAAACGTGAGGTTATTATACGTTATGGACAACACCAGTGCCTGGCAATTGTGTTCTGTGCCCTTGATCTGCACTGAGGCGATCACAGAACGGGATCATCTGAGCAAACAGAACCACAGACTGCTTGGAAGGCTCATCTTGTTCTGCCCTCCTGCCATGGGCACGGACAGCTTCTCCCAGGCCAGGGTGTTCCAAGTCCCATCCAACACGGCCTTTCTTCTGAGCAGAAGAAATACAAGGTCTTAAAGTGTCAAGAGAAATGGCAGGCTGGTATTTTGGTTGAATTAACCTCCTGCTGCCTCTCGCAGCCGCCGCCACTCCCGCAGGGTCAGTGTGAGCCCCGCCGCGCTCCCGCCCTGCCCGTGCCCGGGGCTGCCGGCGGAGCTCCGGCCCCCGGGGGCGCCCGGACTGCCCCGTGTCCCCGCGCCGGGCACGGCCGGTGTGCGGGCACGGCCGGTGCGGGGGCACAGCCGGTGTCCCCGTGCAGGGCACGGCCGGTGTCCGATGTCCCTGTTCCCCGCAGCCCGGGACACAGGCGAGCGCTCAGGAAGAGCCGTGAGCGCGGGCCCCGCTCGCTGCCCGAGCTCGGCGCGGACCGTACCAGCGGGGTGGTGGCCTGCACGTCCATGTAGAGCGGCCGCAGGGCGCCGTCGCCATCGCCGGTTCGCCCTGAGGGGAGAAGAGCGGAGGGAGCTGCTGTCAGGGACGGGCGGGAGCGGCGGGGCCGCCCCTGCGCCGACAGCGGGTCTACCTGACCGCGGCCTTACCCGGTCCCGGTCCCTCTGCCTGTGGCTGTGTCTGTGCCTGCCCCGGTGCCGTCCGGAGCCGCCGCGGGGCGCGGCCGCTCCCCAGCCCCGCCAGACGCCGCCACAGCAGCATGGCGGGCGGGCGCGCGCATGGGCGGGGCCGCGCACGGGGCCGCCTCTTCCGGTCCGTCAGGAGCGCGCCGGAAGCGGGGCCGGGCGGAGCGCGGAGCGGCCCAGCGAGGTACCGGGGCGCTGAGGGAGAGCCCCGCCGGGCCCACGGGCCACCCCCGCGCTCCTGGCCCGGCGGGG